AGTTAGGATATCAGCAGTGGGCCGGGAAGATCGAAATCTGTACTACTTATCGCTCAAGAGGTAGTTCCTAATGAGGTGATCAAAAACCTTCTCGTTGAAGTTTGAAAGAGTTTGCTAATAACACTGAGGAGTCTAATGGGTCAGTATTGTGATGGGGAGAGGGGAGCGGTCAACCAAATTTTGAAAATAATAATTTTGAAGCAGGTATATATAAAATCAACTGTCACAACTGTTCCTACAAATATATTGGGGAAACTTGCAGAAATTTAAAAACACAAAAAGGATGTTATGCATAACAATTTATCAAATGCATCAGTCATACATAGAACTAAGTTCAACCACAACTTAAAATCTAAAGAATGCCATTCGTAGTTTTCATTTGTATTGTTTTTGCTTTTGTTTTTTTAGCGTTAATTATGGTCAGTCCTTGTGTTGTTCAAACGGCCTCTTTCGAGTTGTTTTTAAGATAAAGGATGGGAGAGTCCTGGAGTGTGTGGGGTGTGTATGTGTATATATTTGTGTGAGTGTGTGTATAAGTGTGAGGCCTCAACAGCTCTGCAAGCATGTCCGTTATTTGTGGGTGAGAAATGTGGGTAGGGCCTGATTTATGGGGTTATATATTAATTCTATGTTAAATTTGTGATTAAGCCCGTGTGGACAAGTCTTAATATATATAATATATATATATATATATATATATATATATATATATATATATATATATATAAAGAAATATAGTCTTAAGATGTTCTATATTTATGGGATAAATCAGAGATAGAGTGCGTGTAAATATAAAAGTGAACATAGAAGTCAACACTTAGAGGCGACAGTCTGTTTCATGCTAGATGTGGCCTGACGATTGTATGTAGCATGAAACAGAGTGTTGACTTTTATGATCACTTATATATATATATATATATATATATATATGTTCACTTTTATATATATATATATCATAATGAGCAGCCACGTATACTTCCTTAATATGTATATATAGAAATAGTTGCAAATTAAAAAAATAATAATATTTATTATGAAAGTATTTATTTATTTATATCAAATATATATATAAATAAATAATATCAAATATATATAAATAAATAAATACTTTTATAAAAACATTTTTTAATTTGCAACTTTTTCTATATATATATATATGTGTGTGTGTGTGTGTGTGTGTGTGTTCACTTATATTTATATATATATATATATATATATATATATATATATATATATATATCGAGCACAGTTTCATAATATTCACATATAATAATGAATATGTATTTTTATTTCCTTACCGCTAGGACAACTCTGAATTTCATGCCCAATGCAAACGTGAGATGTTGATTGAAAACTGAACGTAGCATAATTTAATTTTCAAACATCACCTGACGATTGCATTTTGCATGAAATTCAGAGTTGTTCTACCGTTGAAGAAATAAAATGTATATTTATTATTAATATAAGTTATAGCTCTGTTATCATACATCGAGCACTATTTTAAAAGCGCCAGCACCCAATCTGCGATATATATATATATATATATATATATATATATATATATATATATATATATATAGTCAATTGCTGATACGCACTGAAGGCTGGACGGAGGGGCCGTCTACGAAAACTCTGGAGTTGCTGACAAAACTAACCTGACTGTTTGTCTCGAAAAGGACCTCCAATCGGTTGTGGACTGGGGCAGGAATTGGCTGGTTAACTTTAATGCTTCAAAAACAAAACTGCTCTCTATTACTCACCAAAGAGATCCTTCCCCCCCCATTAGAATGTCTGACGCTCAACTCCACGAGAGCACCTCTTTGTGACTGCTCGGTCTCACATTGACTGCTGACCTGAGATAGAACAAATACATTGATTCAACAGCTTCGTCTATCGCAAGGAAAGTTGGCTCCCTGTGCCGCGCCAGGAAATTTTTCTCGCCGGAGTCGATCCTTCAAATCTATAAATCAACCATTCGTCCTTCCATGGAGTATTGCTGCCATATATGGTCTGGAGCCCCTTCTGTTTGTCTCAAGGCACTTGATAAAATCCAGAGTCGGATATGTAATATAATTGGCCCTGATCTGGCATCACGTCTGCAGTCGCTCTCTCAAAGACGTGCCGTCGCCTCCCTCTATCTTTTTTACAAATACTTTCACGGTAACTGCTCCGATGAGCTTCTTTCGCTGGTTGCCAGATTTCATGAATTTAAGCGTTCATCTCACTCTCACCCTTTCACTGTCGAAACAGTTAAATGTAGCCGTCTCTTCTATTCTAATAGCTTCATGTCTCGCACTTCTCGCCTGCGGATCTCCCTCCCCTTATCCTGTTTCCCAGATAGCTATAATTTCCAACTATTCAAATGTAATGTCAATCGACGTCTCCAGATCTCTCCCCTATCCTTTTCTTCATCCTTTCCTCTATCACTCCTCTTTGCTCTCACTCCAACTCTCTGTAATCCCTTGCGTGCTAGTGGCTTCCCGCCTTGTTTGGGGTGAAACGCTTAAAATATGCGTGTATGATCAGAGGGATTAAAATAAAATAATATAGGTCAAATCATACAATTCAACCTATATCAAATTTTACAGGACTTATGTCAAGAATGTGATCATGTATAAGACAGAAGTGATTATTATTATTAAAATGTCAACACAGTGTCTCATAAAATTTGAATGACTTCAACATCAATGACATTATTGTCAAAACTCGTTTGACCGATTCAAATATTACGAAACATTATAGACATTGGATAAGCATTGAATGCTTTTTAATTTTTCATATCTTTCTCTTTCTCTCTCTCTCTCTCTCTCTCTCTCACTCTCTCTACCTACCTACATATTTGTACACACACACACACAAACACACACACACACACACACACACACACATATATATATATATATATATATATATGGCCTGACGATTGCATCTAGCACGAAACAGACTGTCGCCTCGAAGTGTTGACATGTTCACTTTTAAATTTACACACGCTCTATCTCTGATATTGAGCACTTTATCCCAGAAATATAGCACACCTTAAGGCTATGTTTCATCATATATATATATATATATATCTGTTAATAGATTCATTTGAAATATCTAAGCTCTGAGCGGATTACAAGAAGTCGGGAAGATAGGTTTTTGAAAGATTTAATGCTCTTAATGCTCTTTTTCATAACATTGAACATTTTATTTGCAAATACTCCTTGCCTTAAAGCAAACGTGTTTCCCTGAAAAGTATTTCCCTACAGAAATACACTGGCTGAATTCTTGTATGTTTTGGTGTTGTTTTTTGTGAAAAAACAGTATTTGTTATCATATATATATATATATATATATATATATATATATATATATATATATATATATACATGGTGTTTTCCTTTCGTCTTTCAACGATAATGTGATTAAGCTTATTAGACAATATGAAAGGAACTTACTTAAAATAAAGAAACAAAACTTGTCTATATTTTTTAAACATGCATTAATGAAAAATTGCTGCCTAAATATACACAATATAAATATATATATATATATATATATATAGATAGATAGATAGATAGATAGATAGATAGATAGATAGATAGATACATTTAATACACCTGTTAATAAAATTTGAGCAAAGACAACAAAATGATAACAATATTGGCAATAAAATAGATAATATTATTATATATATGATATATATTCGTAGGCCTTTTGACTAAACATACACAAACAGATACACACACGCACACACACATATATATATATAATTTATTCAAAAATTATAACATAAACATGCTATAACATCACTACAAAAACAAAATGGCTATTTTTGTAGTGATGTTATAACATGTTTAGGTCATAATTTCTGAATAAATAATACTTGTTCTACTCTGTATTGAGCACTCTTTTACGAATAGCGTTTTTGGTTATTGGAATTTTATTCCGTCTACATCAATCCTATACTTGGATATATATATATATATATATATATATATATATATATATATATATATATATATATATATATGTATATATATATATATATATATATATATATATATATATATATATATATATATATATATATGTATATATATATATATATATATATATGTATATATATATATATATATATATATATATATATATATATATATATATATATATATATATATATATGTATATATATGTATATATATATATATATATATATATATATATATATATATATATATATATATATATATATATATATATATATATATATATATATATATATATATATATATATATATATATATATATATATATATATATATATATATATATATATATATATATATATAAGAGTTCTTAAAATGAGTCTGTCGTGAATGCACACCGGAAAGAAAAATGCCCAATGCCATATAAAATGGCAGAGTTTTTCTAAATTACGAATTTAGTTTCAGGTGGCGGGTACAGTTGTGTGTTTACGGCCTTATTGTTTCTTGGCCGGGTGGATGCTTTTCACCCTTCAAGTGAGTTTGGTTGGTGTATGCATGGTGTTCACGCACTGACCATACTTTTTTCCCATTTCAGTCTTGCCTGGGTGAATAAAGGTTCCCATTTTCGCACTACAGCTGCCGACCGCCTGACAGTTATCTAAAAGCATGAAATTTACAGCAGTGGTCGTGCAAAGAGAAACATTATAGGAGCAAAAAAAATAAAAGAAGTGGAATCAAGACGACAGTAGATAATGACTGATATTGCTGTTAAATTTTCGTTGATTGATTTGTTTTCTGCAGCTTATCAACCCGTTGCAGGTTATTTAAAACCAGTAAATATTGTTAGATTGTAATATTTTCTCCTTTTGAGATAATAATGATTTAATGATACAAGTCTTACTAATTAACTCACAGAAGAGGGGAGATGAGGTGGATTCATACCTTTTCCAAGGGTATTTCTGTGAAAGTGAATATAACGACCTCAACAATTTTGAGTCGTTATTAATTACACCACCCGCACATCCAAATTTACAGCACCTGGTATTGCCAAGCAGTCACCCATCTCGATACTGACCAGGTTCAACTTTGCTTAACTTCGGTGATCGTACGGTAACCGGTGTTTCTACGTGATGTGGCCGAAGACCCATTATACCACCCGCACAGCATCTGGTATTCCCAAGCGGTAACACATCGAGGTACTAACCCGGTTCAACGTTGCTTAACTTCTGTGATCGAACAGGAATCTGTGTTTCAACGTGATACGGCCGTAAGCCCTTAAATCTTTGAATATCTATGCTGTCTGGAAAGCAAGAAGCTGGAAGAGGTTGCTACGAGCGAGAAACTGGTCATATCATTGATTTTACAAATGCCACCCTAATTTAAAAAACAAAAAAACAAAAAATGAACATAATTCTTTACGTTGAAAATACTTCGAGGGATTTCTAATAAATATTTTCCTAACAATAAACACAGGTTTAAAATTCTATATTACTTCCCCAACCTTTATTGAGTCCATTCTTAAAGAATCTAACGGTGTGTACGTAAAAACCTTCCCCAACCAACAAGCGAAAAACCACACATACCCACACATACGCGCGCGAGCACACGCATTTACGAATATACATTATCATCTGAATCTCACATAGACAAACTAGAATTATTATATACTTACATACATGAAGCAATACTCACGGTTTCCATTTCTTGGATCTTCGAAAGGACGTGTTGTCTCTCCTTCAATTCAGAAAGTTGTCAATTATACTAACGTTTGTTTAACAAGTGGAATGCACTTGAAAGCAATGAAAAATCAGGCAGCACAAAAATAAAAATGCCAGAATTTCTTTCTTCTTTTTCTCCAAATCTCATTCTATAATGAAGCTTTAATAAAAGTGAAACATGTTAGATTGATAAACGTTTTACTATTTGTTCTTTGTCTTATCATATATATATATATATATATATATATATATATATAAAGCCAGGTATTAGTTTGAGCGTAAAGAATTTTGAGATCAGTGTACTCTCAATGCTTTTTCCTCTTAGTAAATTCTAACCATTTTTGAGGTCGAAATTATGGTCAGATGTGTTAAGCTGAACTGCAAGAGCATTTGAATTCACTGCAACTCAAAGTGCATTTAACTTCATTGCAACTGCAAGTACATTTTACTGCATCGTAACAGTTTTAATGCAGATTCAGTTCACAGAAACACATCTGACCACAATTTCACCATAAAAAAATACCTGTCTGAGAAAAGAATTTTGCAACTATCGATTCTAAAAGTAATAAACGTATTCTTTGCACATGTGAAAACTGCTGTCAAATGATAGAAATAAAGGTTGCTTCTAATTTTAATTTACAATTCTTAACTTGATACGACATAAGGTGAACTGGAGACAAGATGATTGTCTTGCGCCAGTCTTTTGAAGTGAAATGCGACTGTCTGTTTTGAAAATCAGCATTCGTAATATTAGATTTTCAACAGGTCCCAGGTGACCACTGCTGCTGGTGGAGTTTGGAGTTTATGCAACTATCTAACAGACCAAGAAAGAACCATTTTTATTTTAAAAAAAAAACGCTTCATTTGCATATATTTTGCAGACAAATACGAGCGTTGGCAATTTCTTCTTCTTCCGCTACTCCCTCCTTCTTATTCTTCTTTTTAATCTTTTTCGTCTTCTTTTCTTCTTCTTTTTCTTCACATTTTCCTTCTTCTTTCTCTTCTTCTTCAACTCCTGCTTTTTCTTCCTTCTCCTCATCTTTTCATGTACCTCCTTCTCTTTGTTTTACTAATACTACTACTACTACTAATTCTTTTTCTTCTTCCTTTTCTTCCATTCCTCCAACTTCTTATTCTTTCTCTTTTTCGTCCTTTTCCTCTTTCCTCTTCTTCTTCTCGACTTCTTCTTCTTCTTTCCGTTAATCCTCCTTCTTTTAATCTTTCTCCTCTTCTTTTCTTCTTGACATATTCCTTCTTCTTTCTCTACTTATTTAACTCCTGCTCCTTCTTCCTCCTCCTCTTCTTTTCATCTTTCTTCTTCTCCTTGTTCTACTACTCCTCCTAATATTATTATTATTATTATTTTCTTTCTTCCTTTCCTTCCATTCCTCATACTATTCCTTTCGATTTTTCGTCCTTTTCGTCCTTCCTCCTCTTCTCCTCGTCTTCCTCCTCCTCCTCTTCTTCTTTCTTTCTACTTCTTCCGACCGATGTCGGCTTCGTTATTTCAGATGCTACAAGCCAGTCATTATATTAAGCATTAGATTTACCTGTTGAGAAGACATCGAGGTACAGTCACAATGCCACATCACTAAGCGTCGACGTTCATTCAAATTTTACTGTTACAGTATTCTATGAAGATACATAGATAGATAGATAGATAGATAGATAGATAGATAGATAGATAATGAACAGACTGAGATAGATTGAAACAGACTGAAATAGATAGATAGATAGATAGATAGATAGATAGATAGATAGATAGATCCATCCAAACAAGTTTGTTTAATTTTTATTTGCATTTTCCCAATATTTACGACGCTGGATCAAAATTGTGGATAAGCTGTCTGAATTTCATGTTTTGTTATGTTTGGACAACTCGAAGTTGTCTGTGTGTAAGACAAGATTTTGCATTCGTGTAACACTGGAATTCAAATTAATCCAAAGTGACGTCATGTGTAAAAGGGTTACACGAAATTAGGCTCCACCTGAAAGAAATATACCAAATATTTATATGGATATTTATTATTATTTTACGTTTTGTCACACAGTGCAAGTTTTTTCATTACACATTAAGTTATCTGTCATGTCGCAAGGACCTCAGACATTTTTCTCGAAATATGCGCAGTAAGCAAAAGAGTGGATCTTTGAATGTTTTCAAATTGGAACGATATCTCTAACTGTTTAATGAAATTAAATAATTTTAATAGGATTGATCCCAATGCTCTTTCGAAGTATCACCAAAAACCTATTTAGGTTCAAAGGGTCTTTCTCTTCATAAAATTATTTATATGTTCGATTACAATAATAATAATAATATGTGTGTGTGATAAATATAATTTTAAGGTATACTATATTTATAAGTAAAATAGCTCAATACCAGTGACAGAGCGTGTGCAAATATAAACGTGACAGACACACATACACACACACACACACACATACATATATATATATATATATATATATATATATATATATATATATATATATATTGAAAGAATTTTGAAGATAATCTTCCAAATACTGCTTGCTATGAGTATGTTTGTCTGCTCATAAAATCTGTAATAATGATATAAATATTAACAAAAAAGATATAGGTCTATACAGGGACGATGGTCTATAAATTCTAAGAAACTGAAACGGCAGAACTACAGAAAAAAAAAAAACAAGAAATAATAATAAAAAAAAAATTCAAAGCCTTAGGATTTACAATAGATCAAATCAAATGTACTAAATTTCTTTGATGAACTGAACAACGGAACCTACAAATCATACAGAAAACCAAACAACCCAATAACATTAGCAAAAATTTGAATCCACCCCACTAATGTATTTAAATACCTATATCTATAAACAAAAGAATTTCAACAAATTCTAGTAATTTGAAATTCTGAAAATGAAAAACACATGAATTAACTCTAAGAAACAGTAAATATTCAAACAAACTAGAATAAAAAAAAAAAAGAAAATATTTTTTAAAAGACAACAGAAAAAGAAATATAATTCGGTTCAACACACCCTACAACAAAACAATAAAACAAAAATAGAGAAAATATTCTTCAAAATAATTGACAAACACTTCACTAAAAACAGCAAATTATCAATAAAAATACAATCAAAATTATTTACACCTGCATGGATAACATGAAGAAAATAATAACTAAACACAATAAAAAAATTAAATAAAACTAATAACAATTACAATAATAACATTAACATACAGCAAAATAGCACCACTAAATGTAACTGCAGAAACAAAGAAAATTGCCCACTTAACAATAAATGTTTAACCAATAACATAATATACAAAGCCATCGTAAATAAGAACATGAACTTAGAAGAAAAAATTTACATAGGTCCACAGAAAAAACGTCTAAAGAAAGATATTATTACCACAAAATGTTTTTCGAACAAAAAATACACTAAGAATACAACCCTATCAAAATACATATAGAACCAAAAAGAAAACAATATCCACACCAAAATCAAATGGGAAATTATAAAAAGAGCAACCCCATACAGTATTAACAACAAAAATTGCAAATTATGCTTAGAGGAAAAATTAGCAATAATTAGTTTTAAAAACCAAAATAAGGTCTTAAACAAGAAAACTAAAATAATGGGTAGTATTTATATGTAGGCATATAAATAAATATTTACTTTGCCATCTAAGCACTGACTAAAAATAAACAAATAAATATGAATAAAACGATTATAAACTTTTAACAAATATAATACAAACTTTAAATAAATAAAAGAAACAAATATAATATAAACTTTATTTATTAATAAATAAATAAACAAATATTAAAGGACGCATCTATGCGCGTGTATGTTCATGTACATGTGGACATGTAAAAACACAAACACCGAAAATTAAACAAACCTAACCCGGCATAATTAATACCTCAATATGTAACACCAAAGGAAAAAAAGACAACTAACCATTAAATAAAAATAATAATGAAACATTAAATAAACGATGACATATGATATAAGTATACACTTATTTTTATTACATACATTATTTAACAATTACGTATACGCGCGTGTATGCGGTGATAAGTTCGTAGGTGTGCGGGAGTGTGTAATATATATATATATATATATATATAAAAATATGGATATAGATCCGGCAGTATGAAAAAAAATATACTGAAAAAAAACAAACAAAAATCCAATACAGATTATGCTGTTTTAATGTTAATATAATGTCAATGTCGGACGTTTATGTTCAATCGTCTTTTTCATATTCAATTGTATATGGTTATGTTAATTATGTTTTTATTCAATATGTCCTGAAGATGGACATTAAAGCAATGCCGTCCAACGTTGATAAAAATTAAAACACCTGTTTGGATTAATGCATATTAGGATTTTTGTTTGTTTTTTCAGTATATTTTTCTTCATATATATATGTGTGTGTGGGAAAAATTTCTCAGAGTTAACCTGTAGAAAAGACAATATTTATAAGGTAAAAAGGATCATAGGAATATTGTAATATTATGACGCGTTTCGTCCAATGTGGACTTTTTTCATTTCATTCTTGC